TCCAAACTCACGCGAGGAGCAGGCAACAACAGCATGCCGAAGAGGCATTGAGGAAGTTGGGGCCTAGAAATTCCGGCCATGGAATCGCCGCCTCTCAAGCACATCGACCTGACCTAGCCAAAGAAGTCTCCACACGGTGCCGGCGGCACCTTCAATCCTCCATCTCCTTCCCTCGTCTCCTATCCATCTCTCTCCCTTGTCATCAGCAAGCAACCAGCAACGGCAGTAGCAACCAACACGCTATTCCAGTGACGTTGTCGGTGTTGCAACCACAACACAGGGGCAGACTCAGACACGGCCGGAGATGCGTTTTGCAATAAGAGCCCCGTTACAATTGCGACGTCAACGACCACGAGTTGGAGATGCTTTTTGCAAGAAGGGTCTTGTTGCAATGTAAATGTCTTATTGCAACGAGCGAAACAGAAAGACGAAGACATGGGTACGACCCGGCCAATCTTTGGAAAAGATCGGCCCGCCGACGCTCGTAGCATGCCCCAAAGAAACAAAAATGCATCTAAGACATTTTTTCTGCCAGAAGAACAACATATCCTCGGTCAAGCCTCCCGATCAACTTGTTATAACATTCTCTGATTGTTTGTTTTATTTTTCGAATCCCCTCTGATAGTTTAGTATGTTTCTTCAGAGACCAGACCCCGTAGTGGGCTACTTTGCGGTTCTTCATAGAAAGCCATATGGACGGCGACAGGTTTGTTCTTGCTGAGAGAAGTCCTTGACAATGATATGACCAATCAATCTGGCGGTCTGCTCTGTTCATTTGCCGGATCCAATCCAACTGAACATGAGCATCCAACAACATCGCAATCTGGCCAGCTACCTCGCAGAAACTTCTTTGTTTCCGGCACATGCACAGAATTTTCTCTTGCATTTATATTTTATGCAGAGAATGTCTCGAGGAGCATCCCGAGCCCTATAAAAAGGCCAGTGGCTCTCACTCACTCCATCTCAACCATCACCTGCAGATAACAACCATCTCATCTCATTGTAGCGAGATCAGATCCGAGCCTACCTAGCTACTCACTCACCTTCGTCAAGAACTTCACCATGGTTGTCCCGGTAATCGACTTCTCCAAGCTCGACGGCGCCGAGAGGGCGGAGACCATGGCGCAGATCGCCGACGGCTGCGAGAACTGGGGCTTCTTCCAGCTGGTGAACCACGGCATCCCGCTGGAGCTACTTGACTGCGTCAAGAAGGTGTGCTCCGAGAGCTACCGCCTCCGGGAGGCGGCGTTCCGGTCGTCCGAGCCCGTGCAGACGCTGGAGAGGCTGGTGGAGGCGGAGCGGCGCGGCGAGGCGGTGGCGCCCGTGGACGACATGGACTGGGAGGACATCTTCTACCTCCACGACGACAACCAGTGGCCCTCCGACCCGCCGGCCTTCAAGGAGACCATGCGGGAGTACCGCGCCGAGCTCAAGAAGCTCGCGGAGCGGGTCATGGAGGCCATGGACGAGAACCTCGGCCTGGACAAGGGCCGCATGAAGGCCGCCTTCACCGGCGACGGCCTCCTCGCGCCGTTCTTTGGCACCAAGGTCAGCCACTACCCGCCGTGCCCGCGCCCGGACCTCATCACCGGGCTCCGCGCGCACACCGACGCCGGCGGCGTCATCCTGCTGTTCCAGGACGACAAGGTGGGCGGCCTCGAGGTGCTCAAGGACGGCGAGTGGCTGGACGTGCAGCCGCTCCCCGACGCCATCGTCGTCAACACCGGCGACCAGGTGGAGGTGCTCAGCAACGGCCGCTACCGCAGCGCGTGGCACCGCGTCCTGCCCATGCGCAACGGCAACCGCCGCTCCATCGCGTCCTTCTACAACCCGGCGTTCGAGGCGGCCATCTCGCCGGCGGTGGGGGAAGGCGCCGCCGCCGCGTACCCGGACTACGTGTTCGGGGATTACATGGATGTGTACAACAAGCAGAAGTTCGATGCCAAGGAGCCAAGGTTCGAGGCCGTCAAGGCGCCAAAGGCAGCTTAAGATTAATCAAGGAGATTAAAAGAAAAATATTTACCTATTAGCTGGCTTTTGTTTTACAATGAAGAAAAAAAGAAGGTAATTTTGGAGTTTATTCAGACGCGTAGCAAATATGATGTGTGGGGATAATTGTGATTGGTTCGGTGTCAAATAATTAGGAAATGAAGTATGGATTTTTCATTGAAAAAGTATCTGATTTTTTCTAGGGGTTATATTGAAGGTATCTGTTTTTTTTTGTTAACACGGTACAGACGCAAGCGCTCATACATACATGCATACACTCACACTCGACGCACACACGCACACCCTATCTCTGTGAGCACCTTCGAGACACTGAGCTGTCATATCATCTTGAGATTTACGAAGTCACGTAGATGCCTCATCATCGACCGAAATATCTCCTTCCACTGAAAACACATCGCCCGAAACCCTAAAATAAATTTAGGAATAATGCGAGTACCGGGACTTGAATCCTAGTGGGTTGAGATACATCTACTTTCTTTACATTGTTTTGCTTTCTTTACATTGTTTGATTGTGATTTATCCTCTGATCAGTACATCGTTCCACAAGTCAGATCAAGAAAAGTTTCTCTATAAAAGGAAGTCTTGTAGTTCTTGACAAGAAACAGAAGATCTCCACGAACAGTCGAGAAGATCTCACAAAAGATCTAACAAAAGTTTAAGTCTGTGGACTGTCCCGAATCATGATGCAACTTCACCTTCATACAAGGCTCCTGTACTGTTCCAACGTGAATGACAAACCACATTTTTCGATACAAGGTGTATTACAAATTACATTGTAGCATCAAGGATATACAACTCATCATGAGCATATATCTGGCCTCTGCATGATTAAGAAGCACACAAGCAACATCAATCATGCACGTGAGAAAAAAAAGTTAAACACCGGTCACAACAAAGTCATAGTAGACTGAAACTTAGTTTTGCCCCGGTTTTTCATTAATTAACTACGCAATTCTCATCTTCTTAATTAATCAATGAAGCAAATCTTTTACCACTGTTTCGAAGAAAAAAATTGTAAGATCAATGAGGCAAATCTTTTACCACTGTTTTGAAAAAAATTGTAAGAAAAACAAGGCGAAGGCGGAGAGCCGGGAGGGTGGAGGGCCCATATGTACACTATGCCGCCACCCACAACGGGTAAAAACATCCATGGTCATCTGCTCCATACCCATACACTTCTCGAATACGCATGAGCGTGTGTATCATTCATTAAAGAAGAAGAGGGGTGGGGAGCCCCAAACCACCGTTACAACAAGTTGCTTATTTACATGCAGGTTTTTATCTGACCTACCCACCACTCACTTGTGGCAAGCTACTCCTGCCCTATCCGATCCACCCTAGCTCGCTCCTCTCCTAAGACCTCCCCATTCAGCAGCCCTGCCTTCACCCAGATAGCTCCCTCTGCTTGTAGCTTTTGCAACACACCTGACAGAGATGGTGTGGAGCCCTTGAACACTATATCATTCCTATGCTTCCACATCGTCCACATTGCCAATAAGCACAATGCTCGTGTGGACTTCCGGTGCTCCATGCTAACATCCTGCCTAGCGCACCATCCTCCCAAAGTATCATCTGGCAGGGGTAGGTATTCCTTCCTGCCAACATGGTGCACCATTGCCATACCTGCCTTGCGAAGACGCGTCCAATGAGTAAGTGTTGTATGGTCTCGTTGTGTTGGTTGCATAAAGGGCAAGTGTCCTGATGTGGCAACCCTCTGCGTGCCAGCCTGTCCGAGGTCCAACATCGGTTCCTGAGAGCAAGCCAGGAAAAGAAGCGGCATCTCAACGGAGCCCTCGACTTCCAAGTAAACGTCGCTGTCGGGGAGAGTTGCCGGCCCATGAATTTGGCCGCATATGCAGATCTTGCTGAGTACCTGCCATTACCCTTCCAGGACCATTGAACCTTGTCCTCCACACCCTCCGTCAACCCAAACTCCGCCAGACTCGTCCAAAGCCGCAAGTATTCCTCCAGCTCCGGTAGCGTGAGGTTGGGGCCAATATCACTAGCCCAAGCACCATTGATGAGCGCATCCGAGACCATCCTCGTCTTCGTGATCTATTTCGGTATTATGTTGTACAGGGCCAGTGCGGTTTCACTTATCCTTGCTCCGTCGACCAACGGTCCTCCCAGAACCTAGTGGTACTACCATCTCCCACCGTCGTACGTATCGCTGCCTGAGCCAAGGCCACTGATTTCGAGGGCACTGAAATGGCGAACTCTGCCCATGATCTCTCCTTGTCTGCCCTCTGGAGCCAAGGCCAGCGAGCATGCAGTGCTTTGTTGAGCCATCTCAAGTCGGGAATTCCCAGGCCACCATCCCACTTAGGTGTACATACCTCCTCCATACCCATACACACAAGAGAAAACAATGGTTGATGTTTCACTCGTCGTAGAGAAGATCATGAATTGAGCCAGTGCATAGACCCATAGATAACCTGCATAAGAGATGAACTTTTAGAGTTAGAAACCATATCATTTGTTTACGATTACAACGGCTTCTCTTTCCTTCCTCACAAGAAAAGGCTTTCCTCCTCCTCCTGGTGGCACCGCTGCCGATCCACCTCACCTTCGATGGCCTTTGGGCCATGGAGGTGCAAAGGACCTCGCCCCCCCCCTCTCGCCGGCGAGAGGGACCCAGTTCTTAATGTCTCCCATGTTCTATCCCGTCCTAAGGATTCGGTCGGAGGGCGTGTCGAGGTGTGTGTCTGTCGGATCTCGCGGGATTCGGCAGGTGCTGGTCTTCGACGGATCTGTTTGGATCTGATCTTCATTCATCTTCTTTTGGGTGTTTACAAGTTTGCCTCTTCCAATCTACGGTTTACTTCATCGGCGCTGGTTGCTTCTCTGGTGCGCTGGTCCTATGAGACATTAGCACGATGACTAATAGACCATCTACTACAACAAAGTTTGCCTGGCTCCAGTGAGAGAAGGGCGATGACGGCAGCGCGCCTTTGGCTCACTCTAGTGCTTGTAGTCGTCGCTAGGTGGTCCATGGACCTGGTTACAATTTTTATTACCTCTGATGCTCTTTGTACTGCCATAATTGAGAATGATAAGATTGAAAGTTTTTTGAAAAAAATAGAAACCAGAAATGCGCATAGAACATAAATTTTAAAAATGTTGATTGTGTATAAAATAATGTTAATCATATATTTAAAAAAAGTTAAAAATGTTCCTAATATATACCAGAAATGTGCAAAATTTATGAAAAAGTAGTCATCAAACACAAATATATTAAAAAATGTTAATCATCTTTTTATAAAATGTTAAACGTGTACAAAAAAATGTCCTCATGTATACGAAAAATGAAGAACATATATTAAAAAATTAACATAAAAACATAAATTAAATAAATGTTGATTGTGTATAAAATCATGTTAATCATATATTTCAAAAAATATTAAACATGTATTTGAATGATGTTCCTGGTATATACCGAAAATGTACAATGTGTATGAAAAAGTAGTCATCAAACTCAAAGTTTGAAAAATGTTAGTTGACTAATCATCCACTGACAACGGGCCCTCAGTTAGTATAGATAATGTTGGCTAAGTGGTGTGTTTGAAAAAAAATCCTCCCTAAATCACACAGATGAGATCTATTTGAAGACTCCAAAATTTGACTGTATAAAATGAGGGTAGCTTTCAAGCTAAACGGTTCTACAAAGTTGAGTTCTTTTCTATGTGATGAAACTAGTGTCTTGTTCGGATTCCACCGTTTTTCGGATGCCAAGGTTACAAAGATCAAAAGTTAGTTCGGGCCCCCGTTAATTCCACTGTCTATGAAAAGTGCTCGCGCATATTTACCGAAATAGTGTTCGTGCATTGTGCGTTTATGCCAAGTCGTACTTATCTCGTCAGTAAATAAGGATGCTTGCTGGAGTCGAAAACGTGTTCAAAGGCTCGTCTCCAATACGGAATCGGTTTATTAGCGTCGAACAGCCGGTCTAGCTATAGCAGTTATATAATGATGCGTACGTACTTCCTATGATATGCAACTCTCATACGCATCGAATCAGCAGAAGGAGCAGCACGCCGGCCGGTTCCAAGCAGCAGCGACGTTCCCTGTTTGGTCCTCGATCGCCTGGCAACGTCGATCGGCGGCATGGCGCTACTGAAGCGCAGCTTCACCGCGGCGCTGCTCGACGAGGGCGACGACTCGTCGTACCCGTTGAAGATGCCGGGCAGCCTCGCGCGCACCACCGCGCCGGTGGCCAAGATGATGCGGCTGTGGAACTACAAGCAAGGCTCGGGCCTCGGCGCGCACGGCCAGGGCATCGTCGCCCCTATAAAGGCCATCCGGCATTGCTCCACCGCCGGCATCGGCCACTCCGAAACGACGTACAAGAACGGCCTGCATGGCGCGCCGGCGCCGTCGCCGCCGGCCCAGGACGAGTGGCACGAGTCGGCGGCCGTCTCACGAGCCCTGCGCCTCGAACGGGACTGCTGCAAGAGGACCCTCGCGCTGCTGCGCGACGTGAAGCTTCAAGGCGACGACAGCGCGGAGACGGCGGAGGCGCTGGCGGCGGTCGTCAAGTCCGAGCGGGCGCTCCGGGGGAAGAAGCGTGCACTGGGAGCGTGGAGGGCTGCGTTGCCTGCTCCGACCGTCCAGCACACATAGTTTTTAATGCCATAGCCCGCTATTTAAAACATTGCCAGCACATCGTGGAGCTGGTTCTCACGCCGAGGATCGCCGTGAAAGCGCGAGAGTGGGAGCCGTTGTGGAGCCCGGGCTGCGACCACTGGCTACGCCCGTGGATCCCCTTGATCGGACATTTGCCGGAGAGCCTCTACGGCACCGTGGAGAGCAAGATCAGCGACGGCTGCTACGACGTCATCTCCCCATGGAAAGACTACCTGGACCCGACGCATTGGGAGATCTTCTCCCGGCGTCACATCTTGCCTAGGCTCACACGGTGGCTGCAACAGCTGAAGATCACACCACCGAAGCAGCGCGACACTAAGTTCCGCGAGGTCATGTCGTGGACGCCTCTCGTGCGCACCGAGGACGTGGTGTCGATCCTGGAGCAGGAGTTTTTCGGCAAATGGGAGAGCGCGCTGCGCCACTGGCTGCAGTCCGCGAGGCCGTCGTCGGGGGAGGCCGCGGCGTGGTGCGCCGGCTGGAAGAACCTCTTCGCCCCGGAGCTGCTCGAGAACGCGTGGTCGCATGGCTGGAGTCTGGCGTTGCCATGGTGGATCGAGAAGCGGAAGACCTCGG